GAATAGATGTGCATCTCTTCTGCTTTATATTTTGCTTCCAGATCTTTCTGTTTCATTTTCTTCTTTGACCCAAGTTCACCTTTCTTTTCTCTTTCCAGCAAGTTGACCTCCCGTTTCAATTTTTAATATCCCCCTTGAATCTACGTTTCCATCGATGTTCGTCTTTATTCCTGTATGTGATTTTCTTCAAACCTAGCTGTTCTGCAACCCATACACTTGCGGCTCCGATTAGGTTAGGTTATTCGTTTGTCTGATGGTGCTATTTGATTGTTCCTTTAACTTTTTCAGTTTAACATCTTAAAGTCTTATTGTCTACTTTTTAAAACATGATCCGTTCACTTGTTCTTCGCCTGATTATTATCCTCCTCCTGGTCGTTTCTGGCCTCAGTCACCTCATTCACAACTTCAATCCGAGTCTCGTCCTCCAGACTACCATCCTCGTTCTGTGCTTCATCTATTCTTCTTTTAATAATTTCCAAATCAATAATAATAATTAGTAATATGATTATCATTATTATTGTTATTTTCATTATAATTATCATTATTACTATTGCCCATGGTCATTATAATGTTACAATACTATATAATAAAGAATACAATATACATATTTTCGAAAATCAAGGAAAATGGTGGATATGTGAGGTACATAGGACCAGCAATTGACTTCTTGGTGACAGCATCTATGTATAAGTAAAGTGAACTAAGCTCGCCATGAGCATGTCATCCCCGGCGGTTATGATTGCGTAATATTCTAGCCCTTTTCTGTTTCAGGGACTGGTCTTTTACATTCCCCATTGGCTCTGGAAGAGATGCGAAGGGGGACGGCTCCGCTCACTCTCCGTCGGCCTCTCCGCCCCCTTCATGGACAAGGAGCTGCGCCTCGGGAAGATCCAGAGCCTCGCCAGGTACCTCCACACCTCGCTCCACCAGCACAGCACATACGCTGTCTGCTATTTTGTTTGTGAAACGCTGAACTTGGTCGTCTGTTTCTTCAACTTGTGGTTCATGGACATGTTTCTCGGCGGAGCGTTTTCCACCCACGGTTTAAGTGTCATGGACCTCATTCGGGACACCGAAGGTGCGAGGGAAGCAACCAGCATGGTTTTTCCAAGAATGGCTAAGTGCTTATTTTACAAGTTTGGCTCTTCGGGCGTCATAGAGACACACGATCTTCTGTGTGTTCTGAGCCACAGCTCCATGCATCTAAAGATGTTCGCGTTCCTATGGTTATACTTCGTCATTCTCTCTTGTCTGGGCGCAGCAATGCTGATTTGGTGTCTGTTGGTTACCTTTTCTTCTTCCATTAGGTCCTACCTTCTGCGGAAACAGGGGAATCTATCCATTGACACTGACGCCCTAGTGACGAAACTCGGGACTGGGGACTTCTTCCTCGTGTATCTTCTCAGTAAAAACGTGGAATTCCATGCCTTCAGTATCCTGATGGAGGAGTTATCTGGGAGACTTACGGGCGAAAAGGTACCGAGGATTTATCCAGGCCTAGACGATAAGGACACGGACATCACTCCGGTTTGATATTCTGCAACAGGAAATTCATGTATAGAATATTCTGCAACAGGAAATTCATGTATAGATACATGCATATGCACATTTCTTGATACAGGAAAGTCTTCGGATTGCTGATTGCTCTCCTTTTATATCCAGGAGTAATTTAAGCTAAGCTTTGTTGGTTCAGATGTACACACATCCTTCTTACGACTTGTAAGTGAATCTCTGTCCCGGGGAAGGTATGACTCTTGGAATACAGCCAAAGTGGATGACTGCTGGATGGATGGCCGTGTGAATCCTAGCCTTCTGCTCAGAGAAATGCCTTTGACAACCCCCCCCCCCCTTTTGCGAGAAGCTGTTCCTAGGTAATCATAAATAATCATAACAATTTGGGAGAGAAGACACCAGCATGTATTCCTTGTTCAATAGTTGGCCTATTTTCTAGTACTACAAAGAAAGTATTTGAAGATTTTTTTTTTTTTTTTTTGTAAGATTTTCCTCTATATATTTTTCTCTCTCTTTGAAACGCAATGACTGATATGGCAGTGACCATTATTGTTTGGTATAATTTCCTCTACAGTATAAATGAACCGAAGGCTCTTAGTAACCTGTTCTCGGGGAAGAGTCGGACAGAGTATGTATCTAATAAAGATTGAATTTCGACCATCTTATGAGAAAATAATATATTTCTTTTATTTTGACACGAAAGCTCAGGATCTGAGAGAATTGCAATATTTTTGAGTGACATCAAGAGATGTCATTGACTTAATGTGCTGTGTGACTCATTATATTAAATGATAATAAAGAATGATTATCCATCGATGTTTTCATGTTCGCCCTTAAACTATTATTTTCCAGTATCACACTTTCTGTACTTTATAGGCACTCGGCAACAAACAGTTTAGTTTCACTTTCTCCTCACTTCTGGGGATTCGTCAGACTAGGTCCTTCTCTTCTCTACCTGTCTGTCTCTAGCGAATCCCACGTTGTTTCGAGTGTCTCATTACACTCTACAGGGATCCCCCTACTAAACCAGATGTTATACTCACCCCCAATCACTTCGTTTCCACCCAGAAACATAGCCAACAAAGTGTTAGATCTCTCCTACCTGTCTCCGGGGATGCTCACGCTGTTCTGATGTTAATGTCATTCTGAGTCCGGATTCACTAACGCACTAACGACGGTAAAATCACTGGTACCTATAGTTGCCATGGTAACCAGACAGCGGTGGTATTCACTAGCAACTTGCCATCGGAGTTACCATGGTAAATTTTTTTACCAGTGGTCAGAGCACTGGTAACTTCTGGGAAGACGATCTCATCATGTGTTATCTCGTCAAAAAATTAATATCTAAGCAAAGTTTTCGATTTGTTTTTACACCTGATGTAATTAATATGATGGAAAACAGATATCACAATGCGGACATAGTAAAGAAATGCAAATTTCACATGAAATTAACAAAAATAAAATCCTCACAAATTCTCGTAAAATTATAGGCCTACATTATACTAGAATTCATGGAACTGATAAATAAGAGATCGTAAAGAATTCTTCTCTGACATAATTATTAAAAATGCCATAGAAAAAAATACCTTGCTAATATATAACTGGCAATGCCAACGCTAAACGAGTATAGCAATATCTGTGTCTGTCGGCATTTTGACAATAAACTCCAAATTGCATGGGCAAGAATAAGCTTGAAATATTTCCTTTGACAGCAAATGGCGGTGAATAAAAAATTTTGTTCAGTCCGGTTCTTTATTTAACAATGATGAAAAATATATTAATTAAAAATGTGGACTTGCCTTCTTTAGTTTGAGATAAACAATAATATTTTAATATAACAGTGTTTATATTGGGTTCTGTCTATACAGTAAATATATATCCAACATATAATGATATAATCAAATATATACCTTTTTACTATATATGTATATACTATTTTTATATATATATATATATTATATATAATATATATTTTTTTTTTTTTTTTTTTTTTTTTTTTCTACAGTGCTTAATATTATTTTTATACTACGGCTGATCATCTTTTTAAAATCTCGCTGTGTCTAGTTTCTGTGTTTATGGTTACTGTAGGAGCCTCTGTTGGACTACCATTAGAATGAGTCTATTTACGATTTTGCTATTATCGCGCTGTTGCCATCCCTGGGTCAAATTCCCGCCCCCGGGCAAGAATAAAGAGGTGGGGGTACAAAAAATTGGAAACCGGGGTCCGTAAAACTGGGGGGGGTATCAAATTGCGGTACGATGCGTATGTTAGTGAAGTTCCGACTACTTAGAAACGTTATCGATCTCCTCTTCCTATAGTGGCGGGTGTTCAGGCTCGTATAGAAAATAGCAAAAGAGCGCAAAAAACAAAGAAAAAGGAAAAGGAAGGAAAGGAAGAAACAACCTAGACAACGGCGTCTTCCGTGATAAATCTAGAGAACTCTTGCCATGCGATAATGGATCATTTTCCATTTAATTCAAATATATTAGTCATACCTTATTTATATTTATACGTATTTATCACCTGTTCTTATAGTATCACTATATAGCTCTCCTCGGAGGCATATATATCCTAACTAGTATATATATTAGACTTATATACCTTGATACCCATTGTACATTCAGAAAACACACACAGGACTTCTTTCCACACACACACACACAACACACAGCACACACACAACAGTGATGGCCTGGTTAGCTTTAGCACACTCACACATTCCTCCACACACAGAACCATATAATATTATATACTCTTCTATAAGGATATATTATATACATGTATAGTTATAGTATTGGTATACTATACATACACACACAGCTCTCTCTTTCATTTCTCATTCTTCTTTCCATACACTCCATTCTCATTCTCTTCCTCTCACGTCGTCAGTAAGCGGAAAGTTTGTTTGGGGGGGTGCGGTTGGGGGTAGTGGGTCATTAAGTTTTGTATCCCTTGGACATTCCGTGTTTTACTCGACACTATATTTGTCTTCTGCTCTCGTCTTTTTCAAATCTTATTCCTTTCTCGCATTTTTATGTTTTTTCAAACTTTCGTCGCTATCTATTCTCGTCAAACTCGCTCTCTCTTGTATGTCTGTTCGTTCGAGTCACGTTATGGACTCTTTCTATATTTTTCTTACACTCACCTTTCACTCTTCTGCTCTTTGTCAACAGGTCTTCTCATTCTCTCTATTTATTCTTTCTCCTCTGGACTGGGCCTGTCTTTGTCTGTCTGGTCCCTGTTTCTCTTCGGTGCTCTCTTTCTCTTTTTCTTTTCGTTTTTTTCTTTCTCTCCTCTCTCTCTCTCTCCGTCTCTTCTCTCTCTTCTCTTCTCTCTACTCTCTCTTCTCTCTTTCTCTGTAAGAACTAGGAATGTAGCAGCAGGACGGTAATTCCGCTTTTTCACAGGGGTACCTTGTTTCCATGGCTGCATCGGGGGGGTGTGGGGGGTTGTGGGCGGGGGGGGAAAAATTTTTTTGGGGGGCGCGGGGGCGCCGGAGTCTGTTCGGAGTTGCACTCCAACAGCCATTCTAATAGGTGTTTGTGCGAACTTCTCGAGTTCTGACGCGGGGGGGTGACTCGTATTTATGTATAGCAATGGTCTCTATGATTCAGGGTTAGGATTGTTGCAGATGGTGAGCCATTATAGTCCAATATAACAGGGTGTGTGAGAGAGCACCAACAATTAGCATTTCTCACAGCTATCGTCTGTTCATTTTATTATTCTATGTTACGATGTCTTTATATAATTTAGATACAACAAATCCATCATCTCGTGAGCGACATGCAAAGTTCTATGGTGTCCTTACCATTATATAATATTTGTCGCTTCATGTGCTGCCAATCTGTCTACAGTTTATCAAAGGTTTACTGTGTTTGTAAGCCTTAACCAAACAGATATGTTGGAAAATAACGCGCTTGAATTATACATAGAACCTTATAACCTCAACCTACATAGTGTAATTAGAATCACTAGACCTTCATGTCTCTGACTCTCATGATGCCTCCGAGTGAGGGGCGCCGGCCACTAGCCTCCTTCTCTCAACTCCACACTCACAACTCACAACCTGACGTCAGCTCGCGCACATGAGGCATACGCCTACGCAAGCTACGCCCAGGATCCCCCCCCCCTCCCTCTTCTCCGACCCCACGTACCCTTCTATTCGATACCCTCCTCTCCGTATTTACTCGAGATCGCCCTCCCTCCTCCTTCTCTCTCGACCTCACCACCTTCGTCGCCTCCTTCCGGTAATCCCTTTCATATGTCCTCTATTTACCGACCTCCCTACCCGGTTGCTTCCGAACGCCCTCCCTACCCTCTTCTCCAGCGACCCCCCCCTCCCCTCCCCTGCCTTCGATTTATTTACCACAAACACTCCCTCCTCCTCCGTTCCACATCACGACCCAACACTCCCTCTTCCCGACGTCCTCTCCCTCCTCTTGCTCGCCGCCCTACACGAAGAAACACCACACATCACTGGCATATAGACACAACGAGAGAGAATGATTACCTACCTCTCTTCCAGACCCTCCTCAAAATCCTACGATATCCCCGCAAACACTAAACACACCGACACCCTGCCCTCTTGCTCGGGACCCTCCCTCCGCTCATTCCCGCGACTCATCGCCCCCCTCTTCTTCGACCCTCACCTCCCTTCTTCTCTGACTTGCCTCCTCTCTCGACGTGCTCCCGAACATCCTAAATTACCGACCTCCATGCCTCTATGACCCTCCCTCCTCTTATCCCGAGCTCGCTCCTCTCCTCTTCTCGACTCCTCCCTTTCTCGACCTTCCTCCCTCTTCCTCGACCCTCGCCTCCCTCTTCACGACCTCCCTCCACTCGCTTCTCGAGACGCCGCTGCCACTCCCTCCATATCCCCAGACATCCTACTCTACCCTCTTATCGAACCCTTCCCTACCCTTTCTCGACCTTCCTCCCTCACAATACCCTCACTTCCTCTTCAAACCCTCATTTCCTTCACACTCTCCCTCTCAAATAAGGTAAATGTGATTGAAAACCTTCTTAATACAAACGGAAAAACGATTAATCACACTTTATAAACAACCACATAAATGAATTTAAAACCACTTAAAAAAAAATCTCAGCAAGTTATCCTTTTCTTTTCCAACCCCAAATTTTATTTTTAGGATAAGGTATAATGAAAGCCTTATACACCTTATATAGTGATACAATGTTTCGTGGAAAGACAGAATTCCTGAAACGTAAAGGCATTTGAAGATTATTAATGATTGCGAATACAAACAGTAATTCCCAATAAACCTTTCTAACGAACAGTGTGAGTATAACCAAGACATAATCATACGTAAAGCCATCAGAATAACAGCATGGGAAGAGTTTGCGAGCAATAAGGGTTGAATTGGCGTGTCCCCTTCGTCACTGTCACGGCTGCAGACCTTCGGCGCCGGCAGATGACAGTCTAATGACAGTAAGGCTGAAATTTGTTAATCGAAAATTGCATTCTATCGATCAAAAAGCACTGTCCAGAGACCAGGATTTATTGATTATATTAAATTTATTTCAGACACAGGTCTTGTCTCCGATATAATTACGTATATATATATATATATATATATATATATATATATATATATATATATATAATATTTATATTTATATATATATATATATATCTATTATATATATATTATATTTTTTTATTTAATGAGGGTATTTGAATGATATAAGCACATTGACACATCCCTCCAGACATGTACAACTAATGTTGATTAAAACCCCTTTACACAGGTATAAGCACAGACAGTTTAGACAGGTGCTATAGCATCTCGCCCTGGACTTTAGCTGGGCATGTACACTTTTCTGTAAAGCACAAATGTCGAATCAGTGAGGTTGGAAGGAGTTTTTTTTCTTCTATGGGAGGCGAGAGAGATCACGAGAAAACCCGAGTGGTACGAAGTCAGCGGCTTGAAACTTGAAAACGAAGGAAAGTGGTGAAAAATAGAGAGGAGAGGGAGGAGAGAGCAGTTAGAAATGGCAATAAGTGGAAGGATAACAGAAGGGGGGGGGGGGCGAGACCCCTTGCATGGTACATAATAATATATTGTTGATCATGTCTGGAGTACGAGGGAGGGGGGGTAAGTGATTGGTTGATTAATAGGATTAATAGAATAGCGGCAAGGTCTATATAAGAACTTAAGAACTTAGATAGACCTTCGTTATCGGTCCCCCTAGCTCGTCTCGCGTTGCCAGATTCGCAGGCCATCTAAACTTTTGACACATACGCGGAGAAGTAAATGATTCATACAGATAAATCACTTCGATTTTGAGTATGATCTCCAAAAGCTGATTTGTATCGTTTGTTCGTTGCATATCTAAATTTGTGTTCATTCCTGCCATCTGTTCATATATGTTGTGCATCGTGGCGGATAAATGTGTACTGAGAATACTATTAGCCTTTTTCATGAAGATCTTTTGCTCCTGACAATTGCTAGGGTTGCAGCATTGGCGTTGAAAAGATTGAAGAATCATGCACACTTTTAGAGAGGGTGTGACCCTTCAACTCAGAATAATAAACTAATCTTGAACACTAAAAACGTATGGAGACTTGAGCTTAACCTCAGAGGTAGGACTAGCTGCTACGGCCTGCTAGAGGGATTTCAGGGCGACATAGCGAAGTCAGGTTGCCAGATGTATGTTTTCACCATGCCAACAACTGGGGGCCGGAAGGGAGGGGGTAGGGGTGGGAGGGGAGGGGTAGGGGTGGGAGGGGACCGTATCAGTAACATTTAGTTTTTTAAATTTTTTTACGGTCCTACGGTTGCTTGTCGAGCACTGTTTTGCAATCTACCATGACAAGAAAAAAGGTCTAGCATGGCGAAGCTGCAGCTCTTGGGAAACATAAGGAAAGTCAGAGACATCACGCGAAAAAAAAAAAAAAAAAAAATGAAGAGACCAGCATGCCGCCCGCAAGACGCCACAGATCCTCGCATACTGAAACTGACTACAACGGCCGCCGTGTTACTACGGCATTGCCCATTCATAGCGACTCCGAGGTAATGATCTGTGTAATAGCTCACTGCTTATTATAACCTTTAATTAACCACCATTACCCATTCCTTTGTTATCTTTAATAACATTACTAATGATGGAAATTGATTCCCCGAGTGAATAAAGGTCTTATTCTTGTCTTGGTGTAAACACAACGCGGGTGTGGTGGGGTGGGGAGGAGGATGGGGGGGGGTAGATGACGTCTTCACCGATGTCTCCTCCTCTTCCTTTCTCCGTTCTTCCCCTTCTCCTTCTTACTTCTTTCTTCTCTTTTCACAACACAAAACTGGTTTCTTCTTCTTTCTTCTTTTATAGGGTTTTAGATATTTGAGTAGTCTATATCCCCTAAACTGGTTTCTCTCGCCTGTTTCATTTCGCGGGTTTTTTTCTTCATCTAACCGAATGACTCAAAATCCGCGTTCGAAACCGCGTTCGAAACCGCGACCCAACTCGAACAGACGAATTGTTAGCGTTCGAAGCATTTCTCAGAGTGCGAAGCAAGTGAACAGCCAAGTTTTGTTGTAATGTACTGTTTATGTGGATTTAGTGGATTTGAAACTAGTAAACACGTACGTATCTGAACTCAATGATTACTGCTGCTATCCATGAGAAAAGGACAACCGTCTTCACAAACGTATGAACCGCAGGGAGCTTAAAAGTTCGGTTTATTTAGATGGATACTTAATTGCACACTTAATTGTAGCAGATTTATAAAAAGAGATTTAATCATATAAGGCCTGTTGTAGTAAGTCCGCCATTTTCTGTGTTTACGAAAAGGTCGTCTCTACCAACTTGCTATGATTTCTCAGGCAGAATTACCTTTGCAAATATACACACACACACACACACACACACACACACAACACACACACACACACACACACACACACACAGATATATATATATATAATATATATATATATATATATATATATATATATAAATATTCGTCAACATTGCGATCTTTTGAAGCTGGGTATGTTTGAATAATCATGTTTTGACACGCGATACACATAAATGTATATAAATGTGTATCTATGCATATATGTGTGTGTTTGTCTATTTATTTAAGGGTAAATTATGAGGCAGATTACTATCCAGACATGTATTTTGGGGGAACAAACTTACAAAAAATACAGCTAAAATATACAGTAATTCCTTACGACATGAAATGAAAAAACATGGCTTTCTTTCATGGCATAAATTCATTCATTATTTCCAAAAGCTGCAAGTTATACAAAACAAGAAAAAGAAGAAGGAGGAGAGAGAGAGAGAGAGAGAGAGAGAGAGAGAGAGAGAGAGAGAGAGAGAGAGAGAGAGAGAGAGAGAGAGAGAGAGAGAGAGAGAGAGAGAGAGAGAGAGAGACGTAGGCTATCGATAGTACCGTGAAAAAATAACTTTGCATGGGACTGAACTATCAAATGGTATCGGAAAAACTACGACACAATTGTATGCCATGACAGGATGTGTGCTGCATGCCTCGTCCTCATTTCTGGCAGAGCGGAGCCGCGGCGCCGTTGCATCGGAAATCGTGCATGTAATAATTATCCCGCTTGTACAGGCCAGCGCAGTTCTGGGACCTTCCGCCGTCAGGAGCCGCGTCGTAGCTGCAAGAGGAGATACGAAGGCGCCATTAGGGTCAGCCACACTTACCGAGGTCACCACACGCCGGCGAAAAAATGGAAGTACAGCAGATTAGGTCATTGACTAGACGCGGATCACTGGTGATTTGAGAGCAGGAGGAACCTTACCCGTCCGTGGATCCCCAGAACGGTGTTCCTCGAGGCATAAGTTCGCCGGTCACCCAGAGCCACGTCCCCTCCAGAGCCTCGTCTGTGCCACCGAGCCAGACATCTGTCATATCGTTCTGCGAATCTGTGATCAAGAAAAGAAAGCCGTCTTGAAGAACTAACACATGCTTGCCCCCCCCCCCCCCCAAAAAAAAAAGAAAAAAAGAAAATCTACGCCTAATGACACGTATTTCTTGTAGCTTCTACCGCCACGGATGCTATTTTCTTACACGCGATACCTACTGTGAGTCTTAATAATTTTCTTTACACATAGATGGCTCCACAAGTCACCAAGGAGTCAATTCCCTATCCCACCTGTTTCCCTGAGTTTTCGGAAATATTCGTTTTTACTTTATATTGCTCTCATATTTTTTTTGACAACACTTAAATACTTATAATATCAATAATGATGATAACAGCTATATTAATGGCATACATTTTCCCCCAAGGTGTTAGGGTATTAGCGAGGAACAGGTCTGCTAATAGACCCCTTGGTTCCTTTATACTTGAGGAACATTTCATGGATACTACACATCCCTAGCAAGACAAACACACAAACAAACAAACAAACAAACCCAGGGGGGTCTTTCCCAGTGTTTACCGTCTCAATCAACGCCTAAGTTACTACAAATGCGTACATCTACAATCATGAATGCTTCTATTACCACTTACTGATTTTATTGACGTAATCGAGAATGGCGGCGTAACCAGCGGCGTCAGAGAAGCGAGCCAAGTCAGCACCTTTTCCGACGCAGAACTGACGTGCTGTCGCCCAGTCTTCCTTCTGGTCGAGACTCAGCAGCAGGCAGGAGTCACCGACGGGGCTGAAGGGGGGGTCGCAGGTCCTCCCTTGATACGGCGTTGATGAGGATAATTAAGAGTAAGAGTAATGATCGTGCAATATGTGTGGACGAGAAAGAATATCTGCACAATTGGATTTTCTTGATGATATTCATTCTCATTCATACCTTTTCTACTTTTGTCTATATGAAGATAGTAATTACATTAACAGTAATAAAATTAATGATTATGAGAATAGTAATTATAATGATAATATCAATAATGATTAAAGATGATATCATCAATAACAACAAAAACAATAAGCAGCAATATTGATAATAGTAGTAATGGTAATAGCAATGATAATGATAATAATAATAATAATATGATGGTAATGATAATGATAATGATAATAGTAATAATAATGACAATAATAAAATGATAATAGCAAAACATAATAATAAAATAATGATAAAATAATGACAAAATAAGGATAAAATAATAATGATTATAATAATGATAATGATAATCATGATAATAGTCATAGTGTTATTAATCAAAATAATGATAATAACAATGACGATCAGATTAATGATAACAATAACAATAATGATATCATTAATGGTATTGATAACAATGATAATGATAATGACATTTACAATAATAATAACAGATACTGGTAATGATAGGCAAATTATGTTGATAGGAATTACGATATCTATCTATCTATCTATATGTATATATATATATATATATATATATATATATATATATATATATATATATATATATATATATATACATACACATACACGTAGTCATACATACATATGTATATATGTATATATATGTATATATGTATTTATCTATACTTATATATATGGATATTATATATATATATATATATATATATATATATATATATATATATATATATATATATATATATATATATATAGAGAGAGAGAGAGAGAGAGAGAGAGAGAGAGAGAGAGAGAGAGAGAGAGAGAGAGAGTGTTTGTGTGTGTGTGTGTGTACATTCATTCTACATGGCTGTCTTTCCTATATTCAATCAAACACGCAGAGCGGAAATAACCAGAAATATTTACGTGTTTCAACAAGGGAGTTGCCTCCGACTTGGCTGCGTTGGGTCAAAGTCTCGCTGACCTGGGACAAGGCGTCTCTGACCTGGGTTAGGACCTGCAAGTTTTCCCTCATCAGCTGGGTCCGAACCTCTTCCGCGGCGGCCATCTTGGACAGCTGAACCTCTTGTCTCAGCAGAAGGAAATCGGTAAGACTCTGAGGAAAGATTTGAAATCTTCGTCTGCGTTGCTTATTTATTTCTACTCTTGTGTTATGTACTCATTTTTTTTGTTAAATGTATATGCTCT